TGGTATTGAGTTTAAAAGGGGGGGAAACTTTTTTCCTTTTGGGGGGCCTTTTTTTTTTTTTTTTTTTTTTATTGAATTCGAATTAATAACATTTTTTTTCATTTACTTCGAGCAATCTTTTTCTCTTTCTCCAAAAATATTTTGACATTAATTTTTTTGTTTTAATTAAACAACCGAAATCGGCTCTTTTCATTCGCGAAATACATTTTTTTATCTCTTTCTATCGAAAGAGAAAAAAGATTGACATCACGGAGAAACATCGAGAAAGAGAGAGAAAAACATCCATCCAATGATGATGATGATGACCGGGTTGGATTTGTTTGTTTTCGTTTGTTTTTGTTTGTTTGCACAAAAACAAACATCATATTCAAATTAGGCAAAATTGATAATTCAAAAAAAATAAAAAGATTTCTTTTTTTTCAAATTCAAATGTCAAATCATCTCGTAAAAAACAACAATCAAATTGTGATGTGCGAGTGTGTGTATTCACTATCGATACTACTATCGATATATTGATATTCGAATCTTTTTTAAAAATCCACAGTTTCCGAATCAAATTTTTTTTTGTTTTGTTTTTCGATTAAACATTTTTTGTTTTTTTTTCAAAAATTTTTTAAATGTTTTTTATTTCGCTTTTGAAATGTGATATGGTCTTTTAAATGTCAACAAAAAAACCGCTATAAATAGATTTAGTGACACCAATACAAAAAACAAAAACAAACAACAACGGCTGCCGTGGCAATTAATCAATCAATCGGATTGATTGATTTCTCATCGATTTGTAGCCCCCGAAAGTTAATTGTTGTTTTCGATGACAAAACCAAAAATCCTCAACATCATCATCATCATCATGGGAAAAAATGTTTGAAATTTGAACCAAACAATGCGAATCTCTCTTTTTTGTTTTTGATAATTTTATCAATGAAATTACATCATCATCATCATTATCGTCATTAATTTTTGATTAATCGGATTAAAAACAAAAAGAGCAAAAAATTGTTGACATAATTTTCATAATTTAAAAAAAAATTTATAAATTTCTTTCCACATTCAACGATTATCATCATTATCGATATGGATTAATTTTAATTGTCAACTGCATCGAACGACTACAATAACAACAGCAATATCTTCTGTGTGCTGCTCATTTTTTAATTTTCATCATCTGCCAAATCCTTGATCGAAGATATTCTCAAAAGTGATCGAAAGATAGTAATATCGAGAGATAAAAAAGTCGATCCATTCATTCATTTTTTGATTGTCATACCATTAACATTATCATCGTTTATTGCTGATCAAACACAAACAAACAAACAAACATTGACTAGGCAATTATCTCTTTTATATTTAAATGATTAACATTATTTTTCTCTTCTATCGATTTATCAGCGATTTAATTTGGTGATCTTCTCATCATCATCAGAGCTTTTTTCTTCTTGATTTTCTCATCTCCAAGAATCTTTCTTGAGTTTCGTGTGTGTGTTTTTCGTTTGTTTCAAGTGATTTTTTGTTTGTGGCTCAAATTTTTGTTTCAATCATGAGATTTTTCAAATGGATTAGAAATCGTTATACTACTAAAAAGAAGCAACAACAACAACAAGATGCTCATTGTGATCATGATAAATCGGAAAATGGTAATAGAAGGGATTCGAAACATTCGAATCATCCGCTACAGCAACAACAATCGGTTAATTATGAGAATCGACAATCGAAACCATCATTATTATCGGTGCCCGAATCAGAATCGATTTCGAATGCTGGAAGAAATGTCGATAATTTAGCAAGCCAACAACAACAACCAAGTTTGATTTCAAATCAAGAAAAATTAAGTGAAAATTTGAATCGACAACAATCGTTTAATCGTTTTAATCAATCAATAAATTCAAACAAACGATCAATGAAAAAATCATCATCGAAAAAATCATCGAGAAAATCAAAAAGATTTGATGATCCGGATGAATATTATGAACAGGAAGATGAAGAAAGTGATGATAATTATGATGACAATGATGATGATGATGATGATGATGATGAACATCAATTTCGAATGTCAATCAAACAACAACAACAACAACAACGTCAACGACGATCAAACAAATCAAATTTTTGGTCACGTTCAAAAAGTTTGAAAAATATACAACAACAACAAGAACGATTACAACCTGGCAACAAACAATCAACATCAATAATGTCATCAAGTATAAGAAGTTTACAACGTATTGGTTCATTTAGAGGTCGATTTATTTCATCAAAAAATAAATTGAATAAACGTAATGAATATGATGATGATAATGACGATGATGATGATGATATCGATCATGATGATGATAATAATGATGATATTGATCCAATAGTTGGTAGAAAATCAACATTTTGTCGTTATACAGAAATATATCGTCGTATTATTTTGAATGATAATCTGGATTTACTTGTACGGCCAAAAAATCAACATCCAAAAATAATAAAAAATAGTCGAAAACGTTCAAATGAAACAACATTTGTAACAAAAAATTGTTCCGGTTGTAATGAAATGGGTTCAGTATTGATAATCGGTTCAATTAATGATCTTTTATTTCATAATTTAATTGGTTATCTAAAAAATTCAAATGAACGTTTAGAAAAATTAACCATTCAATTGGATGGTACAAATATTATTGATGATTCATTACGTTCATTTGAATTGTTTAGTAAATCTGTTGGTAATAATATACGATCAATACGATTAGTTGCCGATTATAAAGATCTTTCTACAGCATTTATGTTCAACAATTCAATAAGTAGTAAGTTTTTCTTTGTAAAAATTAAAAAAAAATCAATTAATCATTTTTTGTTGTTTTTGTTGAATTTTACCACAGCCACCTTATTACAAATGCTTTATCTGAATAATGGTTATTTTACAAATCTAGTCGAATTTGAAGTATTACTTAGTGATAATGCTATATTGCATTATTTTGAAAAGTTTTGGTGTGAATTTGGTAATACGATTCAACGATTAACAATAAAAATTCGTCATGATTTACATAAATTTAATGAATTCGCTTTGAATATATTAAAGTTATTATTACCACCCGAACGATTGAATGATAATGATGAAGAAAATCGTGAACGAATTCGTTCTATTCATTTTGAATTGATACCAATATCAAATCAGGCAATTACAAACAAAAAAATTGATTTGAATCAAGTTTTACATGCAATTGGTTGTTTATCACGTGTATTTCGTACTGTTATCACAAATGTTAATTTGGTTGTTGATATTAATTTTGTTCGTCAACCATTACATTTGATTGAATGTTTAGCTGAATTTAAATTGGCCGAAACATTTCAACTAACCATTCATGATAATCCAAATCGATTGAATTTTGCAACAAATAAAAATCGATCAACAACGGCCACTAAATTACAATTAAATTTTGAAATATTATCTACAATCAAAAATCTTCATCATTTTTATATTGATTATTCTGGCTTGACCAATGATGATGTTGAAACATTATCACGTCATTGTTCAAATTTACAAAGTCTTTATATTGGCTGTGATAAACGTATCGAAAAACAGGCAATCTATTCAATTGGAAAATATTTAGGTCGTTTACAAACATTATCGATTGCACCGGCATTCAATTATGAATATGAACGTTATGGTCTTAATATTAATAATGAAGCATTAATACAGTTATTCACTCATATACAAATGGGATCACCTATTGAATTATCTCGTGGATTAGCATTTTTACGTACATTACGTTTGGTTAATTGTCGTATACGAATTGATAAAATTCAACATCAAGTTTCATTTGAATATCCTAAACAACCAGAAACAAAATCACAAGATCTAATTCAATATCTTCGTAATGTAGGTGCATCATTACCAACAAATGAAAAATTTACATTAATTTTGGAAAATAATCGTTATCCATTACCGGAGGAAAAATCTTTTCATAAAGAATTCAATATACCAACAAATATTAAAGTTTTTTGGTATTATCGAAAATTGAAACATGAAACACGAATTTGAATAAACGAATTGCAAACAAACGATTCCAGTCCAATCAACCACCGAATCAATCAATCAACCATTTTTTTTGTCTTCAAAAATATTTATTTATTCTGTTTTAACCTTTTTTTGTTTGTTTGTTTCTTTCTTCTAACCCTTTTTTTGTTTTGTTTGTTTTTTCGTTTCTAACCCTTTTTTGTCTTTTTATTTTCAAAGAAGTAATGGTGATGTTATAATGATGAGCTTAGTATTATCAATTTGAATTTTTAAAAATTTTTTTTGCAATTTTAATCACTATATTAATATATTAATAAAATAAATCGATCGATCAATAATTTGAATCGATTGATTTGATTTGATTTTCTGGAAAAAAAACAATGATTCAAGAATAAAGAATAAGCAAAAGAATGTTCATTAGTTGTTTGTTTTTTCGAAAAAAATGCCCAAAAAACAAGTAGACCAGGGGGATTAAAGATTAGATAATAGATTTACTAATGGATTAAAAAATGATGCTGGTAATGATTTTTTATTCGATTTTTTTGGTGGTGGTACGGTTACTTTATCGCATTTATCATTATCACCACTATATTCACCACATGCTGCATTTATANGTGCATCATTACCAACAAATGAAAAATTTACATTAATTTTGGAAAATAATCGTCATCGATTACCGGATGAAAAATCTTTTCATAAAGAATTCAATATACCAACAAATATTAAAGTTTTTTGGTATTATCGAAAATTGAAACATGAAACCCGACTTTGAATAAATGAAAAAAACAAAACAAACGATTCCAGTCCAATCAACCGATTACCACCGAATCAATCAACCATTTTTTTGTCTTCAAAAATATTTATTTATTCTGTTTTAACCTTTTTTTTTGTTTGTTTGTTTCTTTCTTCTAACCCCTTTGTTTTGTTTGTTTTTTCGTTTCTAACCCTTTTTTGTCGTTTTTATTTTCAAAGAAATAATGGTAATGTTATAATGATGAGCTTAGTATTATCAATTTGAACTTTTTTAAAATTTTTTTTTGCAATTTTAATCACTATATTAATATATTAATAAAAAATAAAATGATCGAATCAATCAATCGATCGATAATTTGAATCGATTGATTTGATTTGATTTTCTGGAGAAAAAACAATGATTCAAGATAAAGAATAAGCAAAAGAATGAGACATGATGTTCATTAGTTGAATTTTTTCGAAAAAATGCCCAAAAAACAATCTTAGATCTTATCAAGCGGGGGATTAAAGATTAGATAATAGATTTACTAATGGATTAAAAAATGATGCTGGTAATGATTTTTTATTCGATTTTTTTGGTGGCGGTACTTGAACTTTATCGCATTTATCATTATCACCACTATATTCACCACATGCTGCATTTATGGCATTATCAAAGAATGTACGAATATAATTAATATTTGCATCGATACGTTCATCCGTACATTGTTCAGGATGTTTTGCTGCTTGTTGTCGTACACAATTATAGATGGCAAAATAACCGCTATTGAAAAAATTAAAATTAAAATCAATTTAGTAATGATGGTTACAAGAAGAAAGAGAAACTTACCAACAAGATTGAATTAAACGATCTTTACTTTGTCCCAATGTTTTTGCATATAATAAACGTTCAATATATTCAATACTACATTTATTATAATCATTGGTTGCTGCATTTGCACATGAAGCTGAATCCAATAATTCGGATGAACGTCTTGAATTTGGTCGTTTACAATAGGTATTTGTTACCTGTTTTATCGAATATATTATAACCGCTACAATACTTTTTGCCTGATTTTTTAAACAACTTGTTTTATAATTTTCTAATTTTTGTACCAAACGTGTTTGTTCTCTATTTGTGGTTTCAAAGGAATTTTAACGTTAAAAAAACAATTGTAAAAAATTTCAATCAAAAAAACCAAAAACTTACTTGCAATAATCACGTAATTCAGCTTTATCTTTTGGAAATGGACGATCAGTACCGAATGTCATAATACGTGCAACAATCATATCCATTTCTTTTTGTGTTTTATTATTACATTTTAATTTTTGTCCATTCGTTGTTGATAATGATAATGATGATAGTGTTAAAAACAATATCAACAATGAAATTGATTGATGCATTTTCTTCTGGATCGATTTGATTCGGATGATGCTTATGATGGAATCTGGATGTTGTTGAATGAGGTTAACACAGAGGCACACAACAAGGTCAAAATTTAAACAAAACAAAAAAAAACAGCACAAAATGAAAAAGTTTTTTGAAAAATAGTGTAACGAATTTGACAATTTGAAATTTAAACTTTCTTTTGATTTCAGAAATTGAAATATTTTTATATATGCGGTGTGTTTGGTGTTGAAGCGTTTGTCTGTGTGTGTCCAGTCAGTTTTTTTTTCGTTTGTTTGATTGTCAAAAAAAAAAAATTTTGATTTTTTTGATTTTTGAAAAAATCGATTCGACTTGACTTTTATGTACACACCACAGCATCAAAAGCAAGTCAAACATCAAGAAGAAGAAAACATTCGTAGAGGTAAGAATAAAATAGTAGCAGCAGTAGAAAAAAGACGAAGAAGCTTCTTTCTTTCTTCAGGTAATATTTACTTCAGAAGAAGATTTGAAAGATGCTAAAAAATGATGTTCCAATCATCATCATCGTCATCGTCATCGTCGTTTTTTCTGATAACGATGAGTACGATGATGATGATGTTTATTCAACACAAGTCACGTCTTCCAATGTTAATGATGATGATGATGATGACAAAAAATCTCGAAAATCAATTTTTGAAATTGAATTTTTTCTTCAAAACAAATCTTGTAAAACACATCCCACTTGACAATCCCGTAGAATGAATGAAAGAAAACAAAAAGAAAAAATCTTTGAAAACTTTTATATTTCCTGAAGCATCTTTCAGTTTCATTGTTTCATCTGCGAATAATGATGCAATTTTGTTGTTTCGTTGTTTTTTCTTTAAAAAATTCATTTTCAACACATCCGCATCAAGGTGATAATGAAATTGAGATTGCTAGGATGCTATAATTGAATTTGTAATGTTTTTTCGCCTGTCTGTCTGATTGATTTGTTGTTGTTGATGTTGTTCCTGGACGCAAAAAAAAACTTGAAAACAAAATCCCTGTGATGTAATTATAATGAATTTTGAATTCTGAATTAAAGATTTCTTTAGAAAGAAAGAAGGAGAAAAATACATTTTTTTTTGATTGAAAATTATCATAATGATGATGGAAAACTAGTTTTTCTTTCTCCACCACCATTTATTAGCCACCAGATTCATATTTTGAAAAGAAAAAAAATCTTCCACAATATCAATCGACAAAGACGCAAAAAATCAATTAATTTGAATTTTAAATTGATGATTGAATCCATCGCCACTGAAATGACCAACAAACAAGTGGCAAAAAAATTAATGACGGCTGATTAATTAATTTATGTCAATGTCAATGTCATATGATTTGTTTGTTAGTCAGGGATTTGAATTTTGATGACGACAAACCACAATCTGACAGAATTATCATTTTTCGTCCACAGCGCCTTTATAGAAAAAATTTTCCATAAAACAAACAAACAAAAATTTTTTTTTTTTTGAAGAATTTTTCTCAATTTTTCCAGAAAAATTATCCAGTTTTTTCAGGTGAAAAACATCATGATGTCATTCTTTCATTTTCAGGCGATAAATTGGAATTCCCAGATTGAGTGTAATATTTTTTTAATGTACGAATAAAGAAAAAATCAGGTTCAGGTCGCGAAATTGAAATTAGGATTGATGCGATGTAATGTGTATTTCACACTCTTTCACCATTGCACACTTTCTTTATATATTCGTCGTGTGGTCAATTTGTTACTATGCGACAATATTTACCATCCAAATTGAAATCATCAGATTGTTGTTGTTGGTTGTCATCATTATCAGATGTACCAATAATTTTACGTAATAAATGATAATCATTTTCAGGAATCAAAACAAAACAAGGTCGTCGTCGTTGTTGTTGTTTTTGTTGTTTTCCGGTATCAATTTCCAATGTTGATTGAATTTGTTCGTATTCAATTTCAAAAGAATTTTGATGACCACCACGATAGGCAAACAGGTTTGATGGTAAACCAAAATTTCGTAATTTTTCCGCCATTTTATTATCAATTTTCATCAATATCATCGATGTTTTCGATTGATTCTTCGATTCGTTCATTCGAACGTTATCATCATTATCACCATCATCATTTTTGTCGCCATCTACTGATCGAGCTGAAAACTGAAAACAACGAAAAAAATGTTTACTTTTTTTTCGCGCTCAAAATTATCTTACCATTGTTTTTCGGCCAAAAAAATCAAGAAAAATCAAGAAAAAATCAAATGAAAATCAGCTGCTGCTTATCACGTTTTATATTTGATCGTTCGAACCCAGAAAAGCAAGTTCAATTTAATTAATTTTAAAAAAATTCAAATTTTAATTCAAAAATTTTTTTGTTTTGGTTTTTGTTTTGTTTTTTTTTCTACATAGCTTTTTCCATTTCAATTAATTGTTGTACACCTTTTTGCATTTCCATAACGGCATCATATTCAGTCAAACCTAAACGACGACGATTTGAAATATCATATAAACCTTCATCCGAATCAGTATGTTCACCTTTTGAACCACGAATTTGTAAATTTAATTTATTTGCTGTTGCTTCAAATTGTTCTTTTTTCGATGCTAATTTCGGCAGTCGTATCATAACACTTGCACGAATTGTTGTACCACAATTTGTTGGACAAAATGTTAAATAACCAAGACGTTGATCACGAACAAATTCCAGTCCGGCTTCCATTAATTTTATACCACGTTGTAAACGGCCGAAAATCTGTCCAACATTACCACCATCTTGCATACTAATAATACGTATATGATCTTCTTCATTAATCCAAACCATAAATGTACGGGCTTTATTTAGGAATATACCACGACCTTTTGGCCAAAAACGACATGCATTTGCTGTTTGTAAAAAACGATCACCTTCTTTAAATAAATAATGTTGATCAATAAGACGTTTTTGTTCATCTTTACTCATTGTTAATAATGGTAAATATTGTCCTTTCAATTCTTCATCGGTTGCTTTTGCCAAAGCACCACTAATTTTTTGTTCCAATTCTTTATATTGTTTTTCTTTTAAACAAGGATTAAATGGATAATTTTTAACACTACGACCACAACGTATACGTGTAGAGATAATAAATTTTTTATCCGGATCTAAATCAATAAAATCTTCTAATTTACCAAAATTACTTGGTGGATGACGTTCATTTGGACCAAAACCATGATATTCTTCAATAATTTTATTAAATAATTCTGAAAATGTTTGATATGCTTCTGGATCAGGTGCATAAACACCAATATTACTATCGGCATTCATTAAACCCGAACGAATAACATCCATTAATCCTGAACCCATTTTTGTACGACGATTTATTAAACGTTCAAATAAATCTTTATTCAAACAACGTTTTAACATTGAATTACATTGTGGATTTTGTTGCATATCGGTAAATAATTTTCTTAATACTTTTACATTACCAGTTGTTTTACTTGAACTTTTCGATGATGGCATTATGAAATATCGGAAGAAAAACGAAAACGAGCGAAACGAATCGAATGGATTTTCCTTTTGGAATAACAAAAAATTCTCAAACCAGTTTCAAAAATAATCAATTTTTATTTGGTTTTATGGGCCTTGTTAATTCAATCAAATCAAATCAAAAATCGAATCATAAATCAATAAAGAATACGTCTTTGTTTCCAATCATTAACAATACGTTTTTGACGAATACGAAATATTAATACAAATAATATTGCAAAACTGATTGTTGGTACTTCCAATGCCAATAGAAACCAATTTGATGTTAAATTTGGAAATGTTATTTGAAATATTGGTAGAATGTGTGAACAAATTGTATGTACCAATATCATTATGGCCGAAAATAATACCTTTATGGATGGGAAATAAACAAAACAAATCAAGGGTTAATTTGATTCGATTATCGATTATCAATTTATCGATTACACATACCATACATGGATTCAAGAATATCGCACCCAAAATACCAACCAATGATAATATTGAACAAAATAATGTTAAAACAACCCATATGATTAATGAAATTATATGATAATGTTTTTCATTCGAATTGGTTATACGATAAAAATGATTATGGCCATTATTTTTGATTAATCGTCCTGTTTTTTCATTACGATAATGATCATCTTCAGAATCTTTATATGGATCGAATCGAGAATTTTTCCTCGAAACCAATAAATTATCATCATCTGGAATATTTTCTTCAATTTCATGACCAAAATGTGTTTCACCGGCTCTATCAATATCATCACCAATTGCATCGATTGCACGTATAAAATATATTGTACTTATTATAAATATTATTACTAATAATATTATCAATATAAAACGTATTGATTGAAATAGAATTTCAAAACGTTTTGTATTCAATTGACCATCACATTGATCACGATGATATTGACGATGATGATGGTGGCGATGACCATGATGACCACCACCGTTTCTAGCTGATGCCATATCGTTCCAGGAACACGAAACAAAAACACAAAGATGTTTTTCAATCAATTTGATTTACAAAATGAAGATTTTGAAAGAAAAAAAAATCGTGCCAGCTGATTTTGATTTTTTTTTTTTAGTTTTTTTTTTTGGCAATAAAACTACCCAATCAACTAAATGACCAACCAAATGTGGATATAGCTACCTCCTTTGCATCGTTTATTGTCTTTTTTCCATAAACAAAAAAACACAACAAAATTCAAGGTTAGTTGTTTGTGTGTGTGGTATTTGGCTTGGCGCGTATCCTGTTTTTACATGTGATGCTTTCATTTTTTTCGATCTTTGTTGATCATCCATTCTTGATATAATTCAACAAGTTGTTTTGTGCAGGTGTTCGATGATGATGGTGATGGTCGTTTGTTGTTTGTTTGTTACTATTCATTAATATCGATTGTTGTTCGTGGATGATGAAGAACACTTGATCATTTTGTCCAAATTTGGTATCCGTGAATACAGAAAAAAAAGAGGAGAGAGGGAATATCAATTTAAATTAGAGAAGTAGGCGCATCCATTGATTTTATGCGGATTTTCTGTTCCGAGCAAATTTCGCTTTACATCATTAAATCATTGACCAAATAGTTTTTTTTATCAAAAAAGGAAATATTTAAAAAAGAAAATTTTATTTTATTTTTTGAAAAAAATTTTTATCAAATTTTTAAAAAAAATTTAGGCAAAATAAGGGTGGTTAGAATTTTTTGTTTTCGAAAACATTTCCGTAACAACATTTATGAATTTGTCGTTATCGTTATCGTTTTGTTGTTGTTGTTGTTTACATCCATCCAATATTCATTCATTCATTGGAAAATCCATCCATATTGATTTCTCAATCGGAAAAACAACAAAAACAAAAACAAAATGATTTGCTTGTTGCTTGCTTGTTTGTCCTTGGAATTTGTAATTTACTTGTTTTTTTGTTTTTTCCTCAAACACACATAAATATTGAATTTCTTCGTTTTGCTGCTTGTTTGTTTGTTGTATTACATGACACACTTTATTTATTAATTAAAATGTTGTGCGTGTTAAAAAACGGATGATAATGATAATGATGATGATAATAATGACAAATGAATAAAAATTAATTGAAACACAATCGATGGATAATGATAATGAGGGCGTTATTATGGTGGTGCATCTTTTTTTTCGGTTGATTTTCATTAAATGATAACCGGAAAACACAAACTGTCATATCATTTATGCATGTCCACCTTGTTTAATCATAAATGCCATAATATAAGCAAGTATTGCTGAACCAACCCATGGTACAATAAATATCCAACCATTTGGTATTGTAATAAATAATTCAAATATAATAATAATTGTTTGTAAAATAGCAAATATTAATGTAAATAGAAAATGTTGTCGATAAGCACCTAATAAACCAATAATAACATTAGCACCAACTAATGCTGAACTAATAGCACCATTAACATTATCACGACCATGATCTTTTTTAGCAATACCAATTAAAGATCTTGAAAATAGAATAATCATCATAACTAACACGATAATCAAAAATACCATTAAAACAATACGTATTACGCCGAATGTATTCATGATTGTTGATGGTGGATTCTTTATTCTTGGACCGAGAACGAGGGCAATTCACAAACAACAGGTCAAAATAGAATTGATGATGAAGATTTGGAAAAACTTTGAAACTTTTTTTTTTGGAAGAAAAACAAACCAAAATAAACTTTCAGGTGATGGATGTTATCGTAAAAGATCTTGACGAATGAATGAACAATGAAAATGTTTTTTGTTTCATTTAAAATTTTCATTCAATGATGATCATCATTGGAAGCCGAAACAAATTTTACCACTACGCGATTTCTATTTAAACAGTGGTGTTGGTGGTGTTTTCTTGATGATGATAGTTATGGCAGTGAAAATAACGTAATAAAAATGGTGCATTGGTCGATGTTGTAAATAAGAGAAGAAAAGAGAAACTGTATTTTTCTTCTTCACTAACCACTGCACATCACACACACATTAAACAAGATAAAATTTCAATACTGATGATGAACATTGACAGAATTTATGTGTTTTGTTTTGTTTGTTTGAAAAAAACAAGGGAAAAATGAATGAAATGAAAGGAAACAAAACAAAACAAAACGAAACGAAATGAAAGTAACCATTAGTTACCATCTGCATTCGAGAAAAAAAAATTCTTTCCACATTCTATATGTATGAATGGTGTATAGGAATTGCTGTGTATAAAAGGTGTGGCTGGCTGGCTGACTGTTTGCCTATCACTTTGGGTTTTAGGATTCAAAAAAAAAACAAAAACAAAAATTGATTTGTTGGCAGTATTTTCTTTGGGATATTTTTGTTTTATTCACCAGAAAAAATAAATCACCCTATATTGTGGAATAATATCGGGTGATTCATTTTGTCTGGTTACCATTATTTTTTTCCCCCATATTGATAGTTTGTCATTCTCATCAATTTCGATTGATTGATTGATTGCGAAATTTTTTTTCATAATTAAATTTGACATACATAACAATTGACAATTTCATTTTGATATCCACGCCAATTGGAAAACATCATTTAGTTGTTTCAATTTTCAAGCATCATCAAGCATGACAGGGAGACAGAAAAAAAATTGAAACTTTTTTTGTTCCCAAAATTTCATTTTTTCAAAATTTTCAAATTCCAAACATGGAAAATTCATTCAATTCAGTTCAGTTTACCACTACCACCACTAGATTAAATTCGGTTTTTTCAGAGAATCTTTTTCCATTAACAACAACAACAAAAAAAGTTATAATTAGAAAAAATTTGTTTTTTTGTTTTGTTTTTGTTTTTCTGGGTGCGGTGTCGATGTTGAATGTTGATGTTGATGATAATGGTTAAAATATATTAAATGAATCGTGTCGTCGTCGTTGTTGTTTTTGATGTTGTTTACAATCAAACACGTATAGGAAAGATCTTTTCGAGATTCATGAATGAAGATTGATGCCAAATATGGTTGTGGTGGTGGTGGTTTGCTATTGAATTTTTCTCGATAGTTTTTTTTCAAAAACTTATCTGCCGACAATGGAGAACAGAAAAATCTTGAATTTTCATTTTTTTTTCAATGTTTGGATTGATTGATTCGAAATCGATTGATTGATTGATAATTTGTAAATCAATCGATTGGATAAAAAGATTGTTAAGAAGTAAAGATCCAAAAAAACAAACAATGTTCATTCATTGTTGATTTTTTGGTTGTCAATACTTTTTTTTTATCGGAAAAGATTAGATTTTTTATCTTGTCGATTTGGGATTGATTGATTGATTGAAGATTTTTTGTTGAAAACATGAAAGTTGTTGTTTATTCGATGATAATGATGTTTCCATGTTAACCATGTGATGATTAACAGCTAATTAGCTTAATTAATTAATTAATTAGTCAAAAAACATCAAAAAAAACTCTTTCAAATTCTTTGTTTTTCAAACAAAAAAAAACATTCGAAATTCGAACGAAAATGGTTCGTCGTCATCATCAACAACCGCATCGATCATTATCGTTTGCAATGACCGATACTATCGATACTAAACCAAAAGCAATCGTTCGAATATCCATTCTTGCATTATTATTTGGTACAGGATCATGGATTGCATTAACTGGTTTATGGTTAGAAATGCCATTGTTATTACAACAATTACCTGAACAATGGCGTTTAGCATCTTATCTGAATATAATGATACAATTAGCCAATATTGGACCATTATTATATTGGCTATTAAAACGTTATCGTTTTGTTAATGATATTTCAGCAACACATATACAAATGTTAATCGGGTTAATATCCTGTATAATGTTAATCGGTTATTGGCGTAAAACTTTTTGGATTTTTGGCCATGAACATTCAGTAATCCTGTTGATATTTACCTTTGGTTTGGCATTGGTTGATTGTACATCATCGGTAACATTTTTACCATTTATGGCACGTTTTGATTCCAATTTTATGACACCATATCTTTTCGGTGAAGGTTTAAGTGGTTTTATACCGAGTTTAGTTGTATTGATACAAGGTGTTGGTCAACAAACAACAACAACAAAATGTAAGTCATCTATGACCGATAATTTGTTCGAATATCAAAATTTTTCAACGGAAGAAACAATCGAAACAACAAACATCATCGATACTATCGATATTATTGACAATAACAAAAACAAATTGATTGAGCCAAAATTTTCTGTCGAAATATTTTTCACATCATTATTCATTACATTGATTATCAGCTATTTAGCATTTATTTTATTAGAATTTGCATCATTTACTCGATGTGAACAACAACGTATAAAACGTTTAAATCGTTTTAATCGTACATTATTGTTAAATAATAATATTGATGATGATGATGATGATGATGATGATCTAAATCTGGATCTAAATGAAACAGCAAATCAACAACAACAACAACAACAAACTATCGATAATCATGATAATAAACAACAAAAATCATCAACAACAAAAACAACAACAAAAAATGAAATTAATCATACAATCTATTTCTATCTATTAGGTTTGATGTTTTGGAATAGTTTTACAACATTTGGTTTTATGCCACCATTCACTGAGAAAAAAGTGAGGAGTGTAAACTCCAAAATAAACTCCAAATTTTGCAAAATTTTGGAGTGTATGTAAAACTTGGAGTTTAAACTCCAGTCATGGAGCTTATTTTGGAGTTTA